GGAAACCAAAATTTCAAATAGAATATCATTTTAAAGAAGGACTTCGACGGAAAGTGCATGAATTCTTCTTTAGACAAGAATTTCCAACATTGGATAAAGTTCTTGTCTCAGTTGGGATTACCCAGAAATGAGTCGAAGTACGTTATGGAAACTTTTAAAAGAAATAGGCTTCTGCTGGAAAAAGAATCACAGAAAGTCTATTTTATTAGAAAGAAGCGATATTGTCATATGGAGAAGACATTTTCTAAGAACCATAAAGGAAATGAGAAACCAAAAAAGAAAAATATTTTATCTTGATGAAACATGGATCAACGAGGGTCATACACCAAATAAATTTTGGAAGGATGAAACTGTTACAAGTCAAAGGCACGCTTTTGTAAATAACTTATCTACTGGTTTAAACCCACCATCAGGAAAGGGACGCAGGCTGATAATAGTAAACATTGGCAGTTCAGACGGTTTTGTTGAAGGTGGTTTATTAACTTTTGAATCTACTCGTACCGGTGACTACCATGAAGACATGAACCAGTTATTATAAATCTTGGTTCTGAAAGTTCATCTTCTGAATCTGATTTGGATTTGTAACAAGTAGCTGTAAGTTTTATATTAATATTTTTATTCATCTATTTAACATACCTTAGACGGTTTTAAAAACTCTTTTTCTCTTTTGTAATTTTTAAAAATTAAAAAAAATGTGAATTTTTTAAAACCCTTTTTAATGTAGACCAATCAGTTCTAATATAGTGTGCGATAAAAGAGGTCACTTTTGTTTACATACACATAACACTTTATAACACTGAAATAATTCATTTATTTTTTACAATTATTCAAAGTAATTTTTCAATTAATCTTGAGCACGCCCATGGAGTGGTCGGAGATACCAGTTAAAATTATGCTAATTACTCTCTCGTTCATAAAAATAAACTATAACACAAAAAAGCAGTGGATTTTTTGTATCTGGCCTGGCCCCAAAAACTGAAGCAAAGAATATCCTTAAGTTTTTAGAGGACAATAGCAAAATAGGATGCCCATGCGAAAAAATAATTACAAAAACCAAGCAAGTAGGTTCCTTTAAACTGAGTGTTGCTATGGAGAAAATTAACCAAATCATGGACCCTGAGCTGGATTCAATTTTTTTCGGAATCTTCAACGCCGATTGAACAATGGAATTCCATCTTCAAAGTGAACTCTTCAGAACTGGTATCCTCCAAACTGCCAAAAAGTGGATCTAACTGTTTTCCACTTAACATACAATCACTCAGAAAAAAAAGCTTAATAGAAACATGTACTATAGATAGAAATGTGGACATCTTTTGTATTACTAAACACTGGCCAGAAATAGTAAAATCAGAAATACTGCATGATATAAAGTTAGCAAAGAACAAGAAAGCCGTTGGCCCTGATAACATACCGACAGAGATGTTAAAGCTTATAAATGAGGAGAACATTGGAATACTGGTCAAACTTTTCAATGATGTTTATTCAACTGGTGATATCCCTGAAGATTGGTTAAAGTCCGAATTCATAACACTACCAAAAAAACAACGTCCGAAAAACTGTAGTGATTATAGAATGATAAGCCTTATGAGCCACACTTTGAAAATATTTCTACGCATCATCCACAGTAGAATCAGAGATAAATGTGAAGAAGATCAGGATGAAACACAATTTGGCTTCAGAAATGGACTGGGAACTCGGGACGCCCTCTTTGCACTAAATGTATTACTGCAGAAATGTTGAAATCAAAGGAAATACGTCTTTGCTGTATTTATTGACTATGAAAAGGCCTTTGATCGAGTACAGCATCACAAATTAATTACAATATTAAAAGATAAAGGAGTTGATAGTCAAGACATACGATTCATAGAAAAGTTATACTGGCGTCAAACAGCGACAGCTTGCGAAAATCAACAGAAATATATGTAAAATACAAAGAGGTGTTAGACAGGGTTGTATACTATCCCCACTGTTATTTAATTTATATTCAGATAGAATATTTAAAGAAGCGCTGCATAATTTGGAATGGGGCGTGAAAGTTAATGGAATTCTGATAAATACAATCAGATATGCAGACGATACGGTTATTTTAAGTGATGACATTAATGGATTACAATGCCTTTTAAATGCCATTGATAAAGTGGGAAGAGAGTTTGGCCTAAACATAAACTGTTCAAAAACAAAACACATGGTGTTTAGCCGTTTAGCACATCAAGATGCACGATTATATGTTGATGGTCATATAATTCAAAGAGTGTCCAGTTTTAAATATCTTGGTTGCCATATTACTGAACACTATTATACGGTGTCGAAGCACAGACGTATACTAAAAATTCCATGGACGGCTATGCTGACAAATGTGGCAGTCCTTGAAAGAGCAAATGCTGCTCGCGAACTGCTTGATAACATCAAATGTAGAAAGATGGCCTATTTTGGACACATAGTAAGGGGAGACCGATATAATATTCTTCAACTTATTATGATGGGTAAAATCGAAGGACGCAGAGGAATTGGTAGAAAGCAGGCCTCTTGGTTGAAGAATATCAGGGAGTGGACAGGAATAAAAACAGCTGAGCAACTATTTAGAATAGCTCGAGACAGAGATAGTTTCGCCATGTTAATCGCCAAGGTCAAAGGGACTTGATAGGGCACGTTAAGAAGAAGAAACACTGGCCAACAGAGCAGGAAATCCAAACAGTCTCAACTGGCTTGCTTTACTGCCAGGTCCCAGAATGGCGGAGGAGGTACTGCTATATATGTAAAATGTTCTATTTGTTTTAATATTATATGTAATTACTCATTTTTAATTGATTTTTGTAATGGATATTGTGGTGTATGTCTTAAAGATTTTAACCTGATTGTGATAGCTATATACCACAGCCCCTCTGGTCATTTTGACACCTTTTTAGAATCCATATAGCGGGTACTAAGCACACTTAACTCACTAAAGCAAATACTTGTTGCTGGGGATTTCAATGTTGACTTTCTTACTGAAAATACATCTGCCCGTAAGCTCCAAGATGTTTTTTTTTGAGAGCTTTAATGTAGTTAAGTCAAAAATGATTTAGGAGAATTATTATTTCCTCACAATACTTTTTAATTAAGACCACAATTCTATTGGATTCAGTACACAATAGTAAGGAGGTAAACCTTAATACTTTATAGCCATAATTTTCAGCTAGCCTGTCGATAACATAATTTTTTTCATATTTAACTAATTTTAATAGTTCTACAAGTTGTTTTTTGTGTAGGAATCCATAAAATTTATTTCATGTTTTGATAAAAATTCTTGAATTTCAGCTTTGTTTGAATTAGTGTTTGGAATTTTACTACTTTTAGTCTACAATGATACGGAGCATTATCCAAAATAATAACGTTATTTCTTTTTAATTTAGGTAGGTAGTGTTGCGTTCTGCACATACGATGACCTCAATATAACAATTGGGGTCAACCTGAAGGGGGAGAGAAGATATTTTGTTCAATCCAGAACTCGCTGGTTTTCCCCCTTTCGAAATGAGTCTGTATTTAAAAATAAAAGAAATGAAAATCAGAGGACTGTATAAAACTCTATTAAGAAAAAAGAAATGAAATTAAAACATGAATATATATAAGCAAATATACACTTAAAACTAAAGAAGAATATACAAACTTAAAATTACGCAATACGAAACGGCATACCAAAAGACAACCATACACAAACCAAAACAAAAAGATGTCGATTCTATTAAAAACCACTGACAAAACAAAAGACAAAACCTACCATAGCCGCAAACATAAACATACTATACATAAAAAGATAAAAGCCAAATTAATAATCTTACCAAAAAATCAACCTAAATAAGGATATAATATTTTAACGTTGTAAAAACAAATTAAGAATGCGGTGCATACAAATAATTAATAAGTACAATTATTAAAACAAAACATACAAGAAACAAATGCAAAATGTCCAATTGACAATGTTCAATCGCGATCGCGGCACAAATGCGATGAAGTTCCAAATATCAAATAAATATACCAAGTGCACGTACTTGATATATGCAGCAACAAATTAATATGGTTTATTGTTCCTTACCCCATGAAAAAGATAGCCCCAACGCTATCGCAAATTATGTCCTCAGCGACACTTCAACTACCAAAGTTTGTGATGCACATTAGCGTCTTTCTTGGCCGATGCGGAATCAGGTACCCTTCGTCTTCACATTGTTCACATACACATGTTCATCGTTTGAGAGATACTTTTCGACTCTGGTTTTGTATGGAACGCAAACCCTTATTTTAGGTACACACACATGTGCTGATATTTCGCAGATGGCCCGCCTTGCAATCTTTAGCCCTTAAAACAGCTGTGTCACTTACAGGCAAATCTGGTTTAAAATATACGAGGAGAATAGAAACTATTAAAACGTCTTAAAGTATTAAAAAGTACATTTACAAATGTTTATTTACAGTTGCGAAACTGCAACAGGTAGTAATTGATGCTCAAACCACTTTTCAAATAAAGTAGTCACTTACACTCTTAGCAGAGAATAATAAAGCATCTTCTATCCATCCTGATTCTCCCCCATAATCTAAAATATAAATTCTCTTCCCTCTAGAGGGATAAACATTGAACATAAAACCAATAGATTTTAAAAACCTCCAAAACGTAGTTTTATGACTTATGTTTCTTAATTCACTCAAAAGTTTATTTAAAGTTGGTAAGTTATTCACTGAATACATATGATATATTGTTTCCCGTATAGCTGATAAATGAAAATTTGGTAATACTCGATGGGCACCAGAATAGATGATGGGTACCTTTGAGTTGTGCCAATTGTTCGATAGATTAAATTCAGCATCTTTCCTACAACGTCGCGGAGTTTTCTTCTATAAATAATTTTAGTAGTTGGAAATGTCTTTTGTCTGGTCGTTGCACAAGTTTTTGCAAGACATATTGCGTATAATATAGAATATATTTTATAATTTTCACAACCAATAATACCTATGTCTCTTTGTTGCAGATTTGAAACCATGGAACAAGGAACCTAAGGATTACCAGCAACCACCAACGTAATTTGACCAAATAGTTTTAGTAATTTAAAATACTCACCAGATCAAACCAGACCAAACAACATGCCAACAGTAATATCGAAGTTCCTGGAACAGGGTGAAAATACCTTCAATGCGAACAAATCCGTGTTTTCCGGAGCATTTATCGCAGCTGTTCTTTGTACGTACGCGTACAAAGTCGGCTATCCCTTCGTAGACTCCTTGATACATAAACCAAAGGACAATCTTAACAACAACCACATAGTTCAAAAAGACTTGCAACGTAAAAATGGCCTAGTAAAGAACAAGAAACTTAAAGGAAGGCTTAAAAGTAGTATACCAAACTTCAATTTAGCCTTTATTTTACAATTTATTAAATTAGTTAGAATAATGATTCCCAGTTTGATTTGTACTGAAACAGTTTTACTCAGCGGGCATACGACGTTTTTGTTTTTGAGGACGTTTTTGAGTATTTATGTGGCTAACTTAGAAGGTGCTATAGTTAAATATATTGTGATGAAAGATCCCCAGAACTTCGTTAAGCAACTAGGAAAATGGTTTGCCGTCGCTATTCCAGCTACATTTATCAACAGCATGATAAGGTAAGGTGACCATGTATTGCGTTTTATCATAATTAATTATCATAAATAAGTCCATTAAAATACAAACAAAATCTGAGTATATAAAATATTGTCATGACACTGTAGAAACAAATGTTAACATGGACCCAACTAGTTTTTGGTCATTTGTGAAATCCAGAAGTAGTTCCAGGGGTTTACCATCAGAAATTAAGTTAGACACCAATATTTACTGATTGGTTTCTTAATTGGATTGGTTCTGATGGAGTTTCTAATGCTTTTGCACTATACTTTAAGTCAGTCTATAGCATCTCATCTGATATGAAGATACCTAAGTTTCATGGTATTCTAGAGTTTGATGAGATAACTGAAGAAGCCATTAGAGCTAGTGTAAAGAGATTAAAACCCAAGAAATTACAGGTAAAGATAATCTACCTGCTTATATATAAGGGGTGTATTGTTGAACCATTACAGGTTATATTTAAATTTTCTCAAAGTGTATGTTCCATACTATACTCTCACTTTGATTTATTGATATATTTTATTTGTTCTCTAGAAACAACCTAAATTCTTTAACAATTCTAAATGAATATTTTTCAGGGCACGTGTTTTACTAAAAAGATTACTATGCATGATACACAATGCTATTAGTTAATTATATGTTAGACACGCCGAATTATCAAGGATGTTATTCCTTATATATTACATCCTTGTTACGTTACAGATACCTGAAGTTAGACATGATTAGGAATAATGATGAGCTCAAGTGCAAATCTCAAATAGTTTTGCTACTAATTGTTTTTGCTGATTATCGTGCAAATTGGCTATACTAATTTTGTTCGCAGATAGGAAGGTTGGAAGTTTGGCAGATCGGAAAAAGGATGCAGAGAATCTGTTAAACAACTTTTTCCGTCCACTGCAAAACAATCTCGTTACGAACTTTATCTACCCAACTTATTCGTAAGATCCGATACACCTAGATTTCAAAGTCTTCCAGATTTCTATGAATTGTATCCGTTAAAATCCAACCTTCAACAAAATATAAAAGAATGAGACCATATCTTACTAATCTAATTTTCAGTCTCAAAGTGATATTATATTTTTAGAGAGATTTTCTTCATCTTAAAATTGCAGCTCCCGTCTTATCTATAGGTATTCTGGTTTCTTTGAACATGTCCCAGTTTTCATTAAGGTTACAACCAAAATAAGTAATACTGTTGGTTCCTTCCAATTGTTATACATAAGTTGTTACCATTTCTTGTTGTATTGCCGTTTTACTGACGACCATCCCTTTGTGTTTGTGGTGCTTAGCTTCAGTCCACATTCAGCACATCCGCGTACCTCAGATTATCAATATTGACGCCATTATGTTTGATACCACATTAAACACTATCCAATGCTTTATTTAAAAACAAACTAAGAATAAATGTTTAACATTAGTGAGTGACAAAGTGTAGCCCTGTCTTACTTCTCTTCGTATTTGAAACTCTTCAGAATTATCCCGGCCAATCCTGATGTTTGCACGTTGAAGCCAATAAAGAATGGCTATCATTTCATTATGTTTTACTGAATCAAAGTATTTCTCAACAATATAAACTGGATGGCCAACCTTTCTTGCATTTCTGAACCATAACCTGAGTACTAAATAGTGTTGTATGGTTCCAAGATCATTGCGGAACCCAAAACGCGTGTAACTAAGTTGTTCTTCTATTTTTTGGTACTTACTTGAGTGCAAAATTCGAAGAAATATTTTAAAATATGGCTCACCAAGCTGAGTCGTCGGTAGTCACTACATCTTTTCACATTCGATTTTTTTTTGGTATCGTCACAAAAATCGACAGCAACCAATTCGTTGGTATATAGCCAATTTGATAAATTTTATTAAAAATATGAAGGAGAGATCTTTTACCTAAGGTTTCGAGGAGCTTTATGATTTTATTCGATATTTCTTCGGGTCCAATCGCTTTTCTGGTCTTAGCTAGTTTCATTGGTTGTTCCATATATTGAAATGATTTCAATATGTCAAAGAGGATATAACTTAAAGGGATTTTTATATGAGTTTGTTGTTCATGAATTTCATGAAGCCATCACAATGTGGGGTCGACTCTGAAATAAAAGGGAGAAAAGATTAGTAAATTGCTAAATAAATTAATTTTGACTTACCTGGTATAGTGTTAATAATTTCTGAATAGTATAGTTGCCTAGTGTATAGGTGAATCGTCTAAACCTTAAAAGGAATAAAAAAGAAGAATTCTTAAAAAATTATTTAAACATAGAAATTTTAAAAATAAACGTCAGAAAAATAAACTGTCAAAAGTCTGTGGGAACTAAATTAATAGGGGTTTTGTTAAATAAATTACAATGATGTGGAGATGAAAAGAATAAATTATATTAGTATTGTTAAGTTTTATATCTGAATTTTTTTTTTATAAATTCTCAAATTAGATGTGATTAAAGTGCTTATGAGAAATTAATGTGGTTTGACAAATATGTCAAAACAGGACAGTTTTATGGTTGAATAAAATAGAAGACGGAATGAAAAAAGAAAGGGGGTTGCTGTTAGCAACGAATAATTTTGGTGGTTGGTGCTAGCTATGGCGGTTAACAAGGAAGAATAGGTTGTTGGAGGCGACGAAAATTTTGGAGGAAGAGCCCTAAAAAGGTGGAATAGTCCGGGAGTGCTTTAAAATCGTTTAATTATAATTTAGTTTTTCCACATTTTCAAATAGAGATATCCAGAATTTGTTCCAGAGAGTAAGAGAAATTTTGACTTATAAATTATAATTGGAGTGCAGAAATGTCATTTAGATTGAAAAAGTAAAAATTCATGAATTAACTAATTGCGATAGGCCTTAAAAATTGAAATATTAATGATCATTAAAATAAAAATATAATAGTACGTACCTTTAACTTCCGAAGAGAGGATAGATATTCCAGTATCACCGATTATTTTGCGAGTAGTTAGTTTTCTTTAAAAAAAAAAATCAGAACTGTTTGAAAGTGAGTTTGGATAATAATTTTGGGGATCATTTGAAATTTTGATTATATTTTAATGCTAGTTATAAGTCAGCGGCATAAAGTGTTCAGTTTTCTTTTCTTTATATTTCATTTAAACACTTTATAAAGTTGCAATAGTCATTTAGATTTAAGGTAATTGTAGAGAGTTTCCACATTTTGTAATCAAATTCTATTTTCACGACACATTAAGGTTTACACGATTCCTATTTTTGTAAATTTTTAAAGGCAACCCAAGTTGCAGACGAATTTTATTGTTTATATTAAATTTGTTCAATATTAATAAATAACGTGCTTCATTTGGGTTAATTTATCAAAAATATAAAGTAAATTTTGGTTTAATTTCTTTTTGAACTCTACCAGGAGACTACAGAGTTGACGTCACACAGTGACAGATTGCTTAGAACAAATAATTGAGCTAGCCGAGGTATAGTATATTAACAACGAACTACATACTTTTAAAATTCACTTCAATTCAATTAAAATTATATTTATTAACAATAAAACATAAAAATAATAAAAACAAAACTATTACAATTGGCGCCCAACGTGGGGCCTCTGGGAAAACAGAAATAAGGGTGTAATTTTTAAGCAGATTTATTAATAATACACAGATTAAAATAAAAACAAATTGGTGTGATTAGAGTTGTAGAGATTCTGGGGTAGTTAAAGTTAAATTTGAGAATAAATAGAGATTAGGATAAAATGGCAGACCGAATGACTTTAAGAAATGGAAAAGAAATCGTACCGAAAGAGAGTGAAGGAGAACAGGTGTTAGAACAGGAACAGGGTATACAGGTAGATGAAGAAAGCAGAGGAGGATCAGGAGAATTTGTAGTACAATATTTAGAGCAAGGCAGACAAGAAGCAGGACAAGGTGATAGAGAGGGAAGTCTAACAGATAGTTTGAGAGAGGAGTTGGATGAGACAGTGAGAGATAGACGTGATGAAAGTGTGGATGAATGTAGAGTGCAGGAGGAGAGACGTAGGGAAGGAGATGTTGGAGAGTCAGGGATGACACAGATGGATATGAGGCAAATAATGCGGATGTTACAACAGATGGATCATAATATTAGGGGAGATATGCACAAAATGGATAGTAATATTAACAATATTAGGGGGGATATGAACAAAATGGAAAATAATATTAAAGGAGAACTTAGGGAAGAATTAATTAAAATGAGGGAAGAAATCAAAGAAGAAGTGAAGATAGTCAGGGAAGAGATGCTACGAATTACCCAAGGTTTAGAAGAGAAAGTAGAACAGGTCAGAGGAGAAAGTGAGAATTTTAAGAGGAATGTACAGGAGGAGATATCCAGAGAAAAGGCCATAATTAGAGCGGAAATAGGACAGGAAATTGGGAGCAGATTTGTAGAGTTGGGAACAGCCATTAAAGAGAATTTACCAATGGAAATAAACAAAGAAGTTAATAAGCAGAATAAAGAGATTGTTAGGGAGGTAGAAAGTGTTAAAAGGCAAACTCAGGATTATGAGGAAAAAATTACCATTATAAAAAATAATATAAAGAAGGGATTGCAGAATTTGGAACTGGAAATGGGTATGCATGCAAATCAGGCGGAAAAGGGAGATAGAGTATTACAGGGACAAGTTGAGGAATTGAGAGAGAAATTTAAAAATGCAAGTGAGGAGATTCAGCGTTTGGAATCAAATCTAGGACAAACAAGAGTAGTGAGTACTGTGGTGCCGAGTTATAATGATGGGGGAATAAAGTTTGATGGAAACCTGAATCACTTACATCCTAGAATATTTGTAGATATCATCAAAAATAAGGTAAAGAATGTAAGGGATCCAATAGAAATGAAATTGAATATTCGAAACATGTTAGTGGGCATGCCATTATTATGGTTTTGCAATAATGAAAATTCCATAAATAATGTGCAGGAATTTGAGGCCAAGTTTATTAACTATTTTTGGGGAGAAAACCAACAGGCTAGTTTCAGGGAGCGGTTGTATTTTGGGAAATTCAATTATGAAAAAAGTACCAACTA